ATAAGCTTTTTATTTGCTTCTGGATCAAACTCTTCTTGTTAAAGAAATACACAAATACTAAATATGTGAAGGACATTAATTTACAATTTGACTAAAAAAGTATTTTAACTTGTGTTTGGTGTTGCACATAAAATGTCAACGAGTTCGTTGTATGATTTTTTTTATGACATAACTGTCATTATAAATTCAAGAAGATGGTGGTGCGATTTCCAATGAGACAATTTTCTACTTTCCACCAGAAAATGTGTGCGATGAAGGGAGTGTTTAAATCCGTTAATATATAAAGTGATGTTATTAAAAAAAAGTTACCAACTTTTATAGCCTAGGTCACCAAAGTCCATATGAGATTTTTCATGAAATGAATGAAAATGTGTGCGATGAAGGGCGTGTTTAAATCCGTTAATTCAATGAAAAAGTGAGCTGGAGGTACACTTTTAATTAGAGATAATCGGTTTATTACACAGTTATGCAGATATATGGGCATCTGTCACTATGTTACGTTTGTCATATGTCTAGCTATCATATTTTTCTTTGTAAACCTGTGCTTCTTCATGACAATGCATATAACAATATTATAGACGCATTGATAATAAAGATGGTCCGTAAATAAACGATCTGACTGATAGTCTTGTTGAAAATGCAAATGTGGCGTCTGCTTTTGCATGTTATGACAGACCTACCTAGTTTCAATTCCTGTACAAATTCCAACTCTTTCCATCTGCTCCAACTCGGGGAGCATTTCCTCAATGCTTTGTTGAACATATTCAGCCATTGTGAAACCCCTAAAAAAATTCTGAATTTAAGAAAACAACCGATTAATGTCAGTGTTTACACCGTTTACAACACGTGCTTGTTTTTAAAACACCGGAAGTTCAAATTCTAATAGCCGGAAACGTCGAGTCCGAAATAGACATGATATATTTTCTCGGTTTTTCTCTCTTGGAAATTAAACATTTTTTGGCATATATATTTATCGGTTCACTATACAAATCCTTGATGAAATGCATTCTAAGTATTAAAAGTGGTATACGAGTTTGAAAATCACTGTACTTGTTCCATTCTCGGTCATACAAGAGAGAGCATTAAGATTTGTATATGACGACTATTTATCATCCTCTGAAACTCTTCTTGAGAACGCAAAGGTTCCAACCCTACAAGTAAGACGCATCAGGACAATGGCACTTGAGACTTATAAAATTTTAAATAATTTGGCTCCTTTATGTTTACAAAATTTACTCCAAATTAAACACACTAAATATTCTTTTAGATACAGCAATATTTTGGAAATACCACAGGTAAGAACTACCTCATATGGAAAAAAATCTTTTAGCTTTGCTGCTGCTTCTTTATGGAATAGCTTACCAGACCATTTCAGGACTGTTAACAGCTTCTTACATTTTAGAAGTCTTGTTCAGTCCTGGAGTGGAACAGACTGTTTTTGCTCTGCCTGTAGGTAATTTGTGTTACATTATTTATGCTTTTTATGCTGCATTAACAGCTTGCATTGCAACTGAAATTTTGTTTTTACATTTTAATAATTACAAGATTTGAAATTTTTACTTTATAAATTATTTTAAAAAAAATTTTTAAACTGCAAATTTTTAAAATTATTCCTGTATTAGTGCTTCATATATATGTTTTGGCATTTAGCAAGATACATGTATATGCTAGAGTTAAATGTGGTGCTGTTTTTTATTATTTATTTGCATGCTGCATGCCTTGTTTTATTTGTTATTGCATATGTTTTTATATTCGGTGAAAAGCTCATTAGAGCTTATGTTTGTATGTTTGTCAATATGCCGAATCAAAATAAAGTTTTACTTACTTACTTATATTGCTTCGTAAACTGGAATCCACTTGTATTGAACGCTTCACTCAAACGAACAAAGTGCAGTAGTCAGTCGAGAACCAGCTTAATTGTTTCGTTCATGAAATTAAAAGTCGTGCACACTTACTGTAGTACAAAAACAACTTTATTTTATCTGTTATAAAAATGTTTCATTTTTTTTTTACTTTGTGTTGTATTTCATACAGGGTATTAAATATTAGTTGAGTTGTGTGGTTTTTTTTAATAAAGATAAAAGTTATGTTACAATTAACTAAAAAAAAATTAAATAACTTATAAGTATAATCAAGAAATTCTTAGTTATTAAACCTAGCTGGAAATTTTCAACCGATCATAATAAAATAACTGGGTACATATATCATGAGACAATATGTCGTCCGCATTTACCTCTCCTAATTTCGACCACACTAGTTGACATAATGAAGAAAAAACTCACCATATATGTCTTTCCCAATGTTCCCTTTTTATATTTGAACAAATTTGGTCATGTAAGATAACAGCCGTAAAGAATATATTCTTGGTTTTTTCTTTTCTTTGTGGATATGACACTTTCCAGTTAAATAATTGCTACCGTTGTAGCCAGCGCGGACGAAGAGCTTATTATTTTTTTTTTGAAATAGCATACTCAGTATAATATTTGGACTATCAAAAATACAATCTCTATTTTTCATGAATGGATTAGCCGTTTATTTACGTTTTTTTTCTGGAGGGGTGGAAATAGGGATAGTCAAGACGTTGGTTAGCTGTCAAATTGACATATACAACCACATCTCTTATCACAGTAATTTACTTCCTTATTAAATTATTTTTTTAACTTCATTTTTTTCCTTTTAATTTTAGATTAAATCTTTTTATCATCATTGCACAAGTCATGAAAACTGAATGCATTTGTTTTGCAAAGCCTTGTTGATATTGTGAAGCATTATTTTTTTCCACTAATCTCGCAAAGACGGGAAGAAGGAAATAATAACCTGAAAAAAAAATCATTAGTATAAAACTAAAAGAAGTAAATTATTTCCATTCCCTGTAGAAAGACAACGAGTTCGACCGAAGTCTGTCCATTATAAGCGAGTGATAAGACAACGAACAACTGTACTATTATGACCCCTATCATGAAAGATAATAACAAGACGTTGTCTTCATGTTTACATATGGTCATTTACAAATGAAGAATTTAATATCGATAAACATAGGCAAGTAACACTTTAAAATACTATAACTCATCAAATTCACTCTGATGAATGTGGTTGTCTTCTTTTCAGACTATATATATAGCTAACTGTGTTGTCCGTTGTTGTTTTTCTTTGTTTGTATATCTGTTTTCTCGGAAGATTTTGGTGTTGGTGGTTGGTGCGGTCATTTGTACAGTCCAATATTTTTTGGGGAATTACAGTTAAATACAAATAAGGAGATGTGGTATGAGTGCCAATGAGATGCAACTCTTCATCAAAGTCACAATGTATAAAAAGTAAACAATTAAAGTACGGTCTTCTACACGGAGCATTGTCTCACACCGAACAGCAAGCTATAAAGGGCCCAAAATGACTAGCGTTACACAATATTCATACGGGAACACCAACGGTCTAGTCTATATAGAATACGAGAAACACTTATGTACCACACCAACAAACGACAACCACTGAACAACAGGCTCCTGACTTTGGACAGGTGCATAAAAATCGGCGAGTTTAAACGTTTTAACAGGCGCCAACCTTCACCCTAACCTGAGACAGTAGTGTAACATTACAACATAGAAAGCCACTTCATATTGTCTTTATATTAATACATGGAGATTTAGGGTATACGACAATTAGACATCAACTCAACAACAAAAACATTCAAAAGACATCAAGAGGGCAACGCACAGTCTTTAACAACACATAGGAATCTGTGTAATTATGCCAAGTTTTGAATTGTTTCTAGTCTTTAAAATTTGTAAATGAATTAAACAAATTTAAGGTATGACATACGACAACTTCTGACATCATGGTTCCTGACATGGTATATGCACATGCAAATGTTTAACTTAACTACTGTTGTTAGATCGTGATGACAGTTCTTTTAAGTTTATTCACAATATATATATATACCAACTTGAAGCTTAATTTAGCTGAATTTGGAATTTTCATTTTGTTTAGGCGACCACCTGTTTATTGTTCAAGATCATTTGTATACCTCTATTCTTTTCTTTTTTTTATTTCAGGGGAGGGGGGGGGGGCTTCTATCTCATTGACGTAACCCCACATCTTTTATTCATATTAATAGCCCAAAACATATTTATATCTGTGACTTGTGCTTCTTTGAAGATCGTCTTTTTTGTATAATTGCATGTATGTGTTACTAGTCTAAGAGATTATAGTATACATTAAATATTTTTTCAATATTTCTAGAGATACACGAATCTTTTTTATTTGTCTTTACATTTAAAGATTTTTATACAATTATGAATGGTTGATTGGTTGATTGTTGGTGTTTAACGCCATTTTCAGCACTATAGTGATAGTCAGTTTTTATTGGAAGAGGAACCCGGAGTGCACGGAGAGAATCACTGACCTTCGACAGTAAAACTGACAATCCTATAGTCAATTAAGATTGCCGTCGAACACACCTGCCACGTCTGGGATTCGAACACACACCTCGGTGTAGACAGGCTGGTGATACAGTAGATAAACTCCTTAGATAACTGGACCACGAGGCCCCGATACATCTATGACGAATGATACAGCTAATGAATTTATTAGTATATTCTACTGAAAATGTAGAAGGCCGTACCTTGACCTTTAATGGTTTACTTTTATAAATTGTAACTTGGATGGAGAGTTGTCTCATTGGCACTCATACCACATCTTCCTATATCAATTCAGTTATGTTAGAAGAAAAGGAGAACAGTATCCTCTTTTTCTTACTTTATGAAAATAAATGGTGATTTGCGAGCTGTGCACAATCTGTACTCAACATTTACAGCACAGACCAAACGAGCAAGTATCTAAAGTACCCACACTTTCTTAAATGGACCTCCGTCCTATTTGTACTGAAATGATAATTAAGATATTAGGTTCTTTTAATCTTAAGAAAGAAAGCAGTTTTTTGTATTTTGAATAGTTTGGAATCTAGATGCAAGAATCTTTATGCTTTAACTTTTAATTCATTTTTATTTTTTGTAGCTTTGGTTCTAGCACTGGTTTACGGAACAGACAATACATTTGCAGGTACCGTATGTCAGACTTTTATACCAAACAATACTAAAAGGAGAGAAAAGAGAAGTTATCCAAGTGACAATTAAACAAAACATCAATTGAAGAAAAACAGAGACCAATAAATTACAAAATGAGGACCAGACAACAGTCAATATAACACTAAATAGAAAATCGAAGATTGAGCAACACATACTAATAAATCTATAAAATAAAACATAAAAGCACTTTATAAATTGTTTGTCTCTGAGGCGCTTTTCTGTACGTACCTTTATTTTGTCGTTAGGTTTCTTTCTCTAATACGTACACCATATATATTTCCTTGAATTTATCTTCATCGTGTATTAGTGAAGAAACTATTGCATATTAATAAAATATAGATGATAAGTATAAGTCAATGAAACCTATATGTCCACACACGGTCTCAAAAAAAGACAGGGGATATTGGCAAACTAGAAATACCTATCCATTCTCGTTGCCTAAGATTATGCGGTAGTGGTAGGTAACACATACGCAAAGGAACACAATGGACTGATATATTTTACATTTTATACATATATACATTTTAAATGCATGTATGTAATCAGATGTAAAACAGTGAGCGATTTGGATATCTTGATTATAAGACTTATCACCAGGTTTGTACTTACATGACCAACACGACGGGTGCAACATGTGGAACAGGATCTAGTTATCTTGAGATCACCCCGGGAATTGTGTTCGTGTTGCTCAGTCTGGGTTTTTTATGTTGTGTTTTGTATACTATTTGTGTTTTGGTTGTTTTTGGTTTTTGGTTTTATTTTTTGCAATGACATTGTCAATATAAAAATAAGGAGATGTGGTATGATTGCCAATGAGACACCTATCCACCAGAGTTCAAATGAAGTGCATTTAAGCAATTATAGGCAACCGTATAACATTAGTTTTTTTTCGATTAATGAGTTGGAATGCTTAGCCTATCTCTTAAATTATATTTTCTGACATGTGTATACGTTTTGCCCCCCGTCATGTTTTCCGAATATGGCTTTCTATATGCACTTTCTAATTAAAATACATTTTTTCCACAGTTCCAGTGTGTTCCGACTGTACAAACGTTGATCACCCATGGAATTGTCATAAATCAATCAGGTGTCTAGATAATGACGTAAGTTTTCTGTGCATAACAATATTGTGTAGATAAAACCATATAGGTACTTAGGGACAGGACAACTTTTTTTTAGCCCTCCCCTTTTTCCCAAAATCCGTTTTTTTTTTGTTTTTTTTTTTTTATTAATTTCTATTAATTTTAATTAATTTCGCTTTTTTCTGTATTATATGAACATAAAAATACTACAAATAACTTGTATTTGCTATTAACTATCAATAGTGGTTACTGATATAATATACATGTATAGAGAATATATCAGTAACCGCTGTGGATAGTAAACTGGGAATTGATAGTCAATAGCAAATACAAGTTATTTATAGTGTTTGTATGTTCATATGATACAGAAAAACGCGAAAATAATTGAAATTAAAACAAAACAAAAAATAACGGATTTTGGAAAAAAGGGTGAGGGCTAAAAAAAAATTGACCTATCCCCAAGTACCTATGGATAAAACATGACGGGCATAATATAATCAAAAGAAAAACTCTGCTCAATCATATGTTTCATTATAAAGCATTTAGTATTGGGAATCTCTATTGACTGACAAGACTTGATAAATGTGATTTCAGGTCAAATATTAAAAATGATTTTAGCCTTAGTACGATGTTATCACGAGAAACGACAGTCAAAGTTTCTCGATTAGCCTTTTCTAAATTGCGATTTTTTTATGTTTACCGAAATTCTTTCAGATTTTACGGTATTTCCCCCGAAGTGATACTGAAAAAGAAGGAGAAAAAAGAATAGGTCGTAGTCGATTTTCTTAACATCAGGAAACCTTTCTGCGTTAACAGATAACTTACATGTGTGAGGTCTAGATGGGCCACGGTTTACCGAATAGTGAATAACGGACAAAAAAGTGCAGAATCAAGGGTGAAAATAATAAACGTTGCAGAAAAATAGGCAAAAAATAAAGAAAAGAGAATAGTGGGGTGCTGAAATTAAAAGAATTGAAAATAAATGTATTTTTATTTAGAAGATAACAAGAATGTGTCCATAGTACACGGATGCCCCACTCGCACTATCATTTTCTATTCAGTGGACCGTGAAATTGGGGTCAAAACTCTAATTTGGCATTAAAATTAGAAAGATCATATCATAGGGAACATGTGTACTAAGTTTCAAGTTGATTGGACTTCATCAAAAACTACCTTGACCAAAAACTTTAACCAAAAACTTCAACCAAAAACTTTAACTGAAGCGGGACAGACGGACGGACGGACGGACGAACGAACGGACGCACAGACCGAAAAAAATAATGCCCCTAGGTGGGGCATAAAAATAAGAAGATGTGGTATGATTGCCATTGTGACAACTCTTCACGGAAGACAAAATAACATAGAAGCCAGCAACTATAGGTCACCGTACGGCCTTCAACAATGAGCAAAAACCCATACCACATAGCAAGCTATTAAATGCCCCGAAATGATAAATGTAAAGCAATTCAAATGAGAAAACTGACGGCCTGATTAATGTAAAAAACAATAAACGAAAACCAAATATGATAATTTTACAACCACTGAATTACAGGCTCCTGACTCCTTGTTTATGTAATAGTCCTATTTATTTCAATTCATTTTAGTAAATTTGCTCCCTGGTAAGCATTATTAAAACGGTTAGTAATTACACGGTCAAAAGTTTACTAGCTTTCCGAGAAAATCCTGTAATTATTTTTTCTTATAGTGATATTATTTTTTTATATATGAACAGGTTTGTTCTGTGAATGTATTTTTGCACCAAGGAGCAGTACTTTACACACTAGGATGTCAGAGGAAACAAGTCAGTACAAGTAGTTTTAGCATTTAGTAATACAGAGCAGGATTAACTCTGTTTAATAATGCTGGAAAGTATAAAAATATCACAAAGAAGATATTTTATGCCACAAATACAACATCGTACAATGTATGCTGTATTACATGCAAAATTATGTTCAACACTACCAAAAACTTGACTACTTGGTTTCAAGAGTTTCATTATTAAATCAAGGATTTATATCTCATATACGTCCTCGATTGAATCAAAATATATCTTGTTCTAAATAACAAAACAATATAACCTGAATATAACCAGAGACATATATTTCATGTCTCTGATATTATTAGTTACATAGTGTGCTAGTGACCTTATACGCTATAAATGGGGTCAGTAAATTCCATATGGGGTGAGAGCGAAGCTCGAATCCCCATATGGAATTATCTAACCCCATATATATCGTATTAGGTCACTAGCACACTATGTAACGAATTTATCTTACCGACTATCTTAACATGTTGTATTTAGACTAGCGGCCTATCAAAGTGATCAAGTCTTCAATACCGTTAGTATTAAGAACCTACTTCCATTGGTATATACAAAAACAAATGCCAACAATAACAACTTGTTAGCTTTAAATATGTTTTATGAATATATTTCAATCGTTCATCATCAATTTCTTCGTCTGTTGAAACCGTGTTGTTTTTATTACGTACGTAACACCACTGCTAAACGTGTATTGAAATAAGCCCCGCCTACTAACCCAATATGGAACCTTACTAACCCAATATGGAATATACACGGTCTCCACGCGGTTGTTTTTAACCAATCATATTCCTAGAAATGCATAGGAGGTAAGATAAAAGATAATAACTTATATAGAAGTGTTATCGTTTATCAGCAAAACGTTCAGATTTTGGCAATAAAACCAGAAAAGGGCAAGATAGTACGTACAGAAATTCATATTGCCGTTCAAAAGCAGTAATAAGATATCAATTTGATGACAGAAAAATAGACACAATTAAAATTTCATTCCAAATCTTACAAAACATCTTCTGAAAGTGTTACTGCATCTGCAAAATTTGAGATAATGAAACTTTTTCCGTTTTCTCAAAACTAGTTGCCCCTTTCAGAACAAGAGAAAAGATAAACTATTTATTTAATACTTCAATGTAAATCATATGTAATCGTCTAATATCTTCGGGACTGACGCCACTCAGATATAAGAAGCTTACATCTAATACATAACCAGAGACATAAATTTCATGTCTGATATAACTTACTGACAAAAAGTACTACTTGTGATACAGTGCAGTTCAGGTTACAGTTAAATGACAAATATGCAATGAATGATAATGCCTTTCTGAATGAAATCTATGCTGTCTTCATCTTGTTTTTATCTTTTATTTTAAAGGTACAGTTAGTCTTTCTTTTGTAAATATTTGTCGTGAGAACAAACTTATTACTAGCATGTAATACTTTTGTTTGTCTGTTGGTCCTTTTCATTTTTAGCCATGACATTGTCAGTTTATTTTCGACTTATGAGTTTGAATGTCTCTTTGGTATCTTTCGCCTCTCTTTTATTGAGACAAGACGAACAAATAATAAAGACAGAAATTAAAAAAAAGAAGAAAAGGAAAAGAAAAAATACGCTCACATGAATAGAAAGTTTGATATACATATATCAGAATTAAAGTATATATAAAATTCACTTCTATTGAAAACTGTGCAGTTAGTATACACCAAAAACAAAAAAAAACAAAAAAAAACCATTTCTGTTTATATATAATATATTCTTCCACTGAGATACGATATCTATCTTCTGAAGACACTTTACATTTTGAAATTTTGAAAATAGCAAGCGGCCAGCCAAGCGTTTTTATTTTTTAAAATATAACTGTCAAGAGTGGAGAAATATTGTAATGCAAGATTTAGAGATACGTCAGTGAAATATGTTTCTCTTATGACTGAAGACGATATTCACGCATGTAGACAAACTTAAAATCAATGATCTGCAAAAAGATCATACAACAAATAAGAAGATGTGGTGTAATCGCAAATAAGACAACTTTATATGTCACCGTACGGCCTTCAACAGTGAGCAAAACTCATACTCATACTTCATAACAAGTTATATAAGGTCCCGACTTGACAAACGAAAAGAAGTCAAACGAGAAAATTTACGCCTCATTTTTATACCAAATAATTAACGAAAAATAAATATGTTATACAGCAACAAACGACATTCACTGAGTTACAGGCTCGTGACTTGAGACAGACAAATACAAAATATGGAGGGGTGTTTGTGAGGAACCTCCTCTAATCTTGGACAGTGGTCAACAGCACACAACAAAAGAAACTATAAAAATCAGTGGAAAAGGCTTGACCCGCACAAAGCACACAAAACAAACACTAACAAACTTGAAGACTTAAGACACAAAGTACCGAATCGAGAGTACGAAAGCTATGATGCGAGCGATTAAAAAACGCGAGCCCATCATTTTCATTTAAAAAAATATCTTACTAATGATAAATACAAATGTAGCAAATATGAGGCAGGGGCTATACTATTGACGTTCCATCGATCTCAAATACTTGCACAACAAAACTTGTTTTAAGATTTCTTTGTTTACTTCTACTTTCTCTATAATTTGCAGATTTGCTTAGACTTCATAAATCATGCTGGTCCCTCCATAGGTAAACGTATTAATGATGCTGACTTCTGTTTCGCCTGCTGTAACGACGACATGTGTACAAGAATAACGTCGTGTTATCAACTAAGAAAACGTGAGTTTTGTGATAAACTAGTTTACTTATTTTTAATAATCAGTAAAAAGAGGTGTGCGCTATACGTAAAAAAAAAACAACAACCATATAGCACAAACAAACAAATGACATCTACGGGAACCTTGTTAAAATAGAGAGTGAGATATGAAAGAAGGGGTAAACATCCCCCTCCCCCAGAATTAACATTCTTTTTAAGGCTTCTGTTGAACCCAAAAATCATTTACATTGTAAGCACTTAAGGGGGCGACCATTTGATTATCTAGTAGAGTAATATTCCCACAGAGTGTGCAAATATTTTTTTTTTTTGAACAATGTAAAACATCGTTTTATCCGACATTGACGCATTAACGTATAGTTTTTTTTTTATTCCCAATCATTCATTTTGATTGTCTGGCGTCTGGCGTACAAAATTATAATCATGGTATATATGAAGAGTTTATTAAATATCCCTGTGTATATCAACATGCTCAGTCGTTTAGTAATTGTCGGACAGTAAACAGATTATTGGGGTTTCTGCGAATTAATACATGAGTTTACAAAATAGAGAATAATGAACAAGGAGTGCAGAATAAAGTGCACCAAAAACAAAGAACAAATAAAGAATAGAGAAATATGGGGTGCTGAAATATGAAGAATTGAGAATAATAGGCAAAATTTATAAATAATAGAGAAAAATGAGCTGAAAATTTAAAGAATACAGAAAGGAAGGACCCCACCAGATCTCGAGTCCCATAATGATAATTTTTTGGAGAGTTTGCGAATCGAGTGGAAAGAATATCAAGCCAAAAAATGGATAAACTGGAATCCGCTTTGTATTTACGCTTCACTCAAACTATGAACAAAGTGTAGTAGTCAGTCGAGAACCAGCTTAAAAAATGTATAACTGTTATATATAGTTTTCTGATTGCAGGTGGAATAGCTATGAAGTCACAACTTTGCTCGTTTTAGTCTGAATCAGTTTATCTTTTTGTATTTGTTTTTTTTCAGAGATGAATGCAACGATGTTCCAGTGAGCTCGATCAACTAGGATATGGCCCCGTCGGTTATTTTATGAATTAAACTATGAAAAATGCACTGTCTTTAAGACTGAGTAAAATCAACAATATCATGGATCTCCTGAATTGAATATATTTTTGTTCTACAAATGGAACCTTGATGATGAATAAAAGGAGTTTTGGGTAAACGTCAACGAAACAGCAGCCCAAAAACAATGATAACCAAGGGGAGCAAAAGACACATAGAAGGCAACACATTTTTGGCAGAAAATATTTCCCAACAATAATGGTTTCTTCTCTGAGATAATTGGTTAGCATTAATATCTATTTTAATGAACTACGTGAATTTAAGTAATATGAATAATTCACATCAAAATAATCCTTGCAATTTGACCAAAGAACATATTATTCCGAATAATGGACCAACGTCTAAAGTGGAATTTCAGTTGGTCCTAAATGCAATTGGCATACAAAAATGAAACAAAAATGAAATCATTCTAATTCAAGATATTGTCCGACATCATCTTCTTGGTAATCATCTGCGTCATTCATAACACCTGGATTTGAATGTTCAGGTACTAAGTCGCCATCATTAATTTCTTCATAGAGAGAAGAAGTCACATCATAAATATTTACATTGTTTGTCTGTCCTGCCGCAGCAAAGTATCTGCAATTTAAATATTTTATTTATTAGAAAAATAGACAGTGATATCAAAATTATTTTCAAATTTCGAATAGACTTACTATACTGTAGAAGAAAACACGGGATATGTTTTCTTTGCGCGGAACACTTATTTCGATCTGAGATAATCTTCATCAGTTTAACTTAAGACCAAAATTTAGGTAGCAAAATTAAATAATGTTTGAGAGCATAAGAAAATAAAGGGTCCCAAACAGAACAGCCAAAAAACGTCCAATGTCACTTTTGTGTAAGGTATGAAACAATTATTCTCAAAATCTATCTTCCGAAACCTAAATGTCAAAGTCAACACGAAACATATCATAAGTTAAGCATTACCAGCATTTGAGAACAGTTGCTATAATCCCTAGTTTTTAGTAGGGTTTGTTGTTTGTTAGTCTTTTGACATTTATTTGTAGACTTTTTTGTATTGTACATGTTCATGGTTTATTTTTTTAACTTATAGAATTTTAGTCTCTCTTTGGTAGCATATTATTATAATTTATGTATAGTATAAGAACAAATCTGATGTACGTTTTAATATATTGACAGCTCTCTGTATAAGTTTTCTGTAATTGATACAATTGAATCAATGGTATATAATTCAGCTTTATAAATGATTCACTGTAGTCCTAATTAAAAAATACTAAAAACAAACAATCAAGCAAAGAAACAAACGAACAGACCGAACATTGATTACGAAGTTCCGACTCCCTCTCTGGCTGAATCAGCTCAGTAGTCGGTGCTTCGGTAGTGACATGAATTATAAAATACGTTTCTAACATTTTCTGTTGATAAATTAAGAAATCATTAAGAAACTAAGGTTCCACAAGCTCATGCAAAGTTGTCCTACATGAATTTGGCTTTTCTTTTTAGGTGGCTTTTAGTTCTATAGCTCCTCATATATTCGGTATCTATACCGTCCTGGATTTCATTTTGTGTTCCATTTGAGCGTTTCAGATGAGGGTAAGTCCAGGAAAGAAATGGATCCGGACGCACGAAATTTATTTAGTGTTAATAATTTTTTTTCTGATAGCACCGGGTCGATACCTGAACTGGTGGTCTGTTAGTCCCCATGGGTAACATCAGTGCGTTTGGCTTAACATGATTTATAATATAGTTTTCAAAATTTCCCGTTAATGAATCAAGAATTTTTTAAGAAACGAAGGTTCCAACTTCGTCTGTTTGTGGACTTTTAGTCCCTGAGGTTAACATTAGCTCAGTAGTCGGTGCTGCGGTACTGACATTAGTTCTAATTAACTTTTCTAAAACTTTTCATTGAATAATTGATAAATTATCATGAACATAAGGTTCCGACTCCCTCCGGGAAAGTTGACTTTAGATGATATTGGCCATTCATGGTAGGTCCCTTTTGGTCATATATTTCATCACGTTTTCAGGTATTCGTACATCTTTGGATTTCAATTTTATTTTGATTTGAGCTTTCCTGATGAAGGTAAATTGAGAAAAGAGATTCGGAAGCACGGAATTTAGTGTGTGTCATTTTTAAACGTGCCCGGGAAAAACGATTTACCGTTTTTTCATTGATCTTCGTTAATACAATTAGCGATCCCCAGATACACAAACTAATGCCTCTTCAGTGATAGTGGAACCAAAGTATTTGAAGGTACAAAACCTAGTACTATCGTTGAAGAGTTGTCAAAACCAAAATGGACCAAGCTAAAGCCAGCCTGAGAAAGAAATTAAAGCTTATACAAGAGGAAGATGCATAACTTAACTTAAAATGATTTCCCAAATTTATAAAGGAAAATTTTAATAAAACAATATACGTATTTTCATTCTAGTACTGGCTACTGAACTGGTGGCACCATCTAGGACTAACAGTTGGTAAACATAAAAACACATGCCCGAGTCTTTATGTACATTTTTCGAGCGATTCCTTCTTTTCAATCATGTCATCTCATAAAACAAAGCAATAATTTCATCGGTTCTTCTTTGTTGAATATTGAGGAAACATATGTTGGATATATTCCGTTTTGATTGCATTTGCTCTTATAAATATCTGACTTTTTCAATTAGATGTTCATCTTACATAATATGGATAACGTTTACGAGATGCATAAATCCATTGTAAGAGTATGCATATATATCAAAATAACAAAGCATTGTTGCTAACGGAATTCGGAGACACCTGTGTTTTGTAAACTACCATACTGAAGAGAAACTATTTTCTGACGACCATATAAACCATACAAACAACATAATAATTAATATTTAACAAACAGGTAATTCATCAAGATACTCACATTGCTCTTGAGGCAGATTTCCTTTCTGAATCTATAAATAAATGTTATATATTATCAATTATAACGATGAATTAAAAATTAATAAATTATCATGAACATACGGTACCGACTCCCTCCGGTAAAGTTGACCTTAGATGATTTTGGCCATTCATGATAGGTCCCTTTTGGTCATATATTTCATCACGTTTTCAGGTATTAATACATCTTTGGATTTCAATTTTATTTTGATTTGAGCGTTCCTAATGAAGGTAAATTGAGAAAGCACAACTCAATTGGCAGACTTTTTATTTTTTATTTACATGTAATTTGTCGTCTTTCCAATAAAATTCTACACTTAAAGATAAATTTATGTATAGTCGTATGATCGTAACTATTGTTGTTGTTTTTGTTTTACTTATTTTCCTAATCAATTCTATTTTTCAACAGTTGACAATACAAATATATTCTAAACGCAAACTCTAGAAAAACACTTTGACAGAAATTAATTTTTTGTACTGTTCAGTAGATATATACCTTGTGACGTCGGTTTACTCTGGACTTAACTTTTTAAAGAAGTTGAATAATAAATCTTCACAAAATATTAGTCTCTCTGTTCTATGGTTTAGTAAAACAATATCTATTACGTTCACAAAAAAGTTGAATAATAAATCTTCACACAAACTATTTTTCTCTCTATTCTCCTGTGTTATGGTATCTGTTGATGTAGCTATGAAAGATATAAACATTGTTCTAGTAAGTTGGAGGGAAATATCTGATGAGGAAATGAAAGGTTGATAGGGACTTGGAATACTTCAACTGATAACATTCAAAAGAGACAGCTTAAACCACTAACACTGCCTTATCAACTGTGTGCGAATCCAATATGATAAAAATACTCTTTACTGAAATTTTGATTACTTTTATTACGTACCTCTTCTTTGTCGGTAGACCAAGACAGTTGATACAATAACAGACACCAAAAACAAGAAAACTGCAAGTGATATCAAGCTAAACAGTCTAATGTTAAAAACCTCAGAACCTTAAAAAAAGAATAATGATAAAATTCTAAAATAAACAGCTATTTTTGAAAGAGAATTATACAATTATATATATTCATGCCTCTTTTGCGATACAGAGTAATAGTGGTTTATGTAAATATTAATTTTTGGTAAATGTTTGCGCCTAATATCAACAATTCTATAGGGACTGTTAAACTAAGAAGATGTGAAGACCTAGAACTTAAAAGAATATCTATGAGACAGCAACCTTACTTCTGGCTTTAATAAAAAAAAAGTCCCCTGTCTGTTTTTGCATTCCATTGTCATCGAAAAGGTTAAAGTGTGTATTTCTATATGATACTTTTCTTCATAACATAATTGATGGAAAAGGTTTAAATTAATTTGTAAAGATAGAGTTAAAAGCATTTATGCGAAAGACGGAGTTTTTTCCGGGTCGAAAACAGTAAGAAGTTTGATATTATATCGGAAGAATTTGTACGTTTATTTATTATTGAAGCAAATACTGTGTGGGGCAAACTGATATTTTTTTACAATTGACTTTTTTTCAAAACAAACCTGTCAAAGATACCAGGCTTATAAGTTTGTAAACCAGACGCGAGTTTCGTCTACAAAGGACAAAACGTTTTCAAGAAGTCAACGATGCCAATATATAAGATTGCAACACGACGGATGCCACATGTGGAGCAGGATCTGCTTACCCTTTCGGAGCACCTGAGATCACCCCCGGTTTTTGTTGCTCAGTCTTTAGATTTCTATGTTGTGTTTTGTATGATGTTGTTTGTCGTTTGGTCTTAATCTTTTTTTTTACCATATCGTTGTCAGTTTATTTTCAACTTATGAGTTTAAATGTCCCTTTGGTATCTTTCGCCTCTCTTTTTCAACTTTTGTGGTTTCCATCCTAATAACACATTAATTCTAGGAGTCTTACACAGATACAAGACTATTGATACATAAATAGGTAAATATTGTGTATCTAATAAATACAAATTGATATTTATTTATTTAATGGTTGCATTTTATGAAGTGACATTTGTTACTTTGAACAATAAACTGAAGTCCGAAAAATTACGGGAAAAAAGGTTGATTATTCATTGTCATTTGTTTGCAAGTAAGTATTTTACAATAAAAGCAGTGCCTTATATGTAATACCATTGTCATGATTGTTTAATTCAAATATGAATTTTGCTGTTCCAAAATCATTTCCAAGCAATAGCAGGAATTTGAACCTTCCGATGTCTTCTTTGACCACTGTCAGGTTTGCGATGTAACCGTTGAAGGTTAAAATTTGCCCATGCATTTGTATCACTATAATGTTTTTCGAAGTGTTTTGGTGATATCGTGTTGAGTTTGGCAGCAACCTATCTTTATGATACCATTTCGGGTTGTGCGGACTTTGCATTGATAAGAACTTAGCAGATAATGTTACCGTTGTACTCATTGTAACAGTTTGGTCAACTACAATCGGAGGACCTAGATGAAAAGTAAAATGATACAAATATACTTTATATTTATTTAATCAGTTGTAATGTTTAGTATTTGTATGGTGAGTAAGATACAAATTGTAAAGATTCTTCATGGTAATAGATTAAAGGGGTGGATGTTAAGGATAAGATGAAATTTTAAGTCAAGCAGGAAGTTAACCATGATCTTTTGGACCATTTATATCTATATCAGCTAGATTTTTTTAAAATCTAAATTTGCATAAGTAATCATTGTATTTGAATTTGAAAAAAAGTCTTTCTGTTTATGCGGGGTAAATGAATAATAAATAAAGATACATTTACATGTACGTAGAGATTTTGGGGTAAAAAAATCAAAGTACAAATCGTGTTTGGTTGACAACGTGTAATTAATAACCAACCGCATAAAGTTATGTACAAAGTATTAAGTTTTGAGTAAAATCAGAGCTCTACCTTAAAATGAATCATAGATTCGAGAACTTACCTTAAAATGATTTAACTGATTAATAAGAGGGAAAAAAGGATTAAGCTAATTACCTTTAACGATTACATTGGTAGAACTTTTTTGACGGAATATCTGTTGAGAGTCTTTGTTCCATGCTTCACATATGTATTCACCATTGTCTTCATAAGTACAATAATCGATTGACAAAAATGAGACATTTCCTGTAACATTTCCTGTGAGAGATCGTATATATGTACCATTAAATATGTGCTCCCAAGGTGAAAATCCAAATTCTGACATTTCACCGCTGACACGGCATGTTAAAATGACTGAGTCCGTGTTGTTGCAGAAAACCATATCAATTGTATCGAGAATTGGAGCTCCTGGAAAATAGTTTTGAGTAATATTACACACAGTAACCCATAGTGCAGTGAGTTTTCAGATCTAATGAATCCATATAAAATTGAAATTAAGAATACCATGATTACCTGAATGTAAAAAAAAAACAAACATACGATATTCCATGTTGTTATCGCCAAATTGTCATTCTTAAGAACAATGATGATATCACTACTAAATATTTTAGTCTTAAACGGTTATCATGATCTTAACATCATCTGTAAAATCTGAGCAATTTAGTCATGTTCAGTATTTCAGTCCACTTTCAGACATATCCATTGCGATGAATTCAGCAGCGTTCAGACAAAATTGCTTACAGTCAATTCAGTACTGTTTACTAGCTTTTCAGTTAATTCAGCATGATGGTGATACTGGTACATACATATACTGAACAGTATATTTGCCAGTGGACGTTAAGCAACCAACAACCATTTAATTAATCTACTGAACAGTCTTGAAGATAGACTGAACAGATCTTAAATGACTGCAAGCGAATTGTCTGAACAGTACTGAATTTACCGTACTAAACACGTCTCAAAATTGATTGAAAGACTATAAATGACTTGATATTTTATTTGTCAGTCTTTTAAGAGGTTTTCAGATCACAATAAAGGTTTCAGATCAAAATTGGTTTACTGGGCATACCAGCGGCACTAATATTTGATAGAAGTGTAACACATATATTAAGGTGTTCTCTTTCCTCAAAAAACAACAAATAATTAATGAAATATTTAACACAAATGATCTTCGTCCTCTTATTTGAACATGATGGATCTTCTGAATGTCTTGTGACATGTGAATTAAAAATATGATTAAAACTGCATACATAATTCAAATAACCCAAGGATTTCCTCGATAAGTTTGTTGCGTGTGATTTTCCGTTGAGCAGTCGTTATCATATTAAATTTTTTGCCATAACAGACATTGCCATCTTTTTTTCGGTTTTTCCATTAGTATCTTTCGCCTATCCTTTGCAATTGTTTGTTTATGAAATGTAAAGTAATTAGGTCGGATCGGTTCTTTTTCTACAATGCAGTGTAAACGCAATGAATCCTAAAAGATGCAACGAGATCAACTTTGTGATGCAAATGTAAACTGAATCAGGTCTTTTTAAGATCGATTCAAATAAAGATCAGTTGAGTTTCGTACCAGTGTAAAAAGGGGGCGGTCTAATATAAAAGCATTGATCAAACTAATGGATGGAAAGACAGATACAAATACACATAATCAAAATGATGACATTGAGCGTAAAAACAGTGTCAAAATTTTAACAGGGTCGTGAAGTAGACAAAACAGGTAATCGAAGATCTCTAGGTATCCATTCATATATGAATATATGCACACATACATAAAAGATAAATATAAAAGCTGCATGTTTATACACAAAGTATAGAATGTATACTTACTGATTATATGTAGTTTGATTGACGATGAGGTGGTAATGACACTTGATGTTTTACATGTACAAAGTGTTCCGTTATCTGATGACGTCACTATTTGTGAAAGTTTAGCAACGTATGTATCATTAATACTCTTGTTTGTTTTAACAACTGTTTCAAGACAATTCATATACATGTCGAGTACATAACCTCTGGAAATAGCTTTGCATGTCAATTCAACAACACTACCGGCAGATAGTGGAAAGTCTTTATCAGATGTAATGAAAGGACCACTAATATCTGCAAACGGAGATAATTTGATTTGTAGCAATTTATACAGTCAAAAATATATTACATTGTACGTGTACAAGCAGTAGATTTTGTAACTGAGTCTATATGAGATACTAATATCAACGTGGATAATTGATTGATTATTGATTGATTGGTGATTGATTGGTGTTTAACGCCACTTTCAGTACTGTTAGTTATTTCGTGACGGTCAGTTTTTATTAGTGGAGGAAGCAGGACTGCCGGAGAGAACCACTGACCTTCGGTATCGGTAGGAAATCTAACGATTTCAGTCAATTAAGATTGGAGAACACCTGCCACGTTCGGGGTTCGAACACACAAACTCTGTTTTGACGTGCTTGTGATACAGTTGTTTGAATACTTAGACCATTCGGCCACCGAAGCCCCTCTATTTTGGTGAAAAAAGATAGTGGATATAGGTCAATAAAACAGAATCCCATGGACAAAAAAAAACCCAATTTTACAGGTCAAGGTAACGTTTTTGTATGAAATATATCAACCAGCCCAGGAGAAACACTTCTGGGTTGACAAGGAATATCAATGATACGTTCATCTAGATCTTCCTTAAATGTTCACTTTACAAAATGTTGAATTACTCAAAACACTTTCGTTTTTCTACTCCCAGGGCAAAGATGAGTCGTATTCGGCGTAACTTTTTGAAATTTTTGGTTTTCAGTACTCTACAACTTTGTATTTGATTTTGCCATGTTGACCTTCCGACTGTTTTGAATCGAGAGCCATTGTGAGATCTTTAGTATACGAATCAAAACACGCGTTTAAGGTTACACATTGCACGCCTCGTATCTTGGATGAGTTATTGTGATGTATTGTTATAAATCACAGTAAATTGCCAACTTAGTAAAAAGCAGTCTTAATTCCGTTTAATAGAAACATTCAATAAGATATACAGTTACATAGACGATATTTTTGCTGAAAAAAATCAAAAACTTTGAATTATACTGCGGACATTTCCCAAGAAATTGTAAATAATACAAACAACAGTAATTGTTAGATTTACACGTGAAACTCCATACCGCGTCTTGCGTTATGTATTTATGCTAACTCGTACGTTAAACTTGTGTCTGTAGTGGCGTTTTAAATTTCTATGACAGTAATCTTTTTAGTAAATCTAATTATGTATGGCTATACATTTATGAACATTTGTTGTCCTTCATACTGCCGATACTGATATTTTTGCATTCAACAATAATGAATAACTTTCTCAGACTGACAATAATGCCTTTACACTAATTCATAGAATGTATTCTCATTCAATTTTAGTCTAGGAACTGTGGTTTATTCTTTAGTTGGAAATGATTTTGAAGGAGATTAAAGTATACCGGAAGTACTCTTAGCCCGTTAACTTGCGCTATTTGTCTTTTTGTTAGGGTTTTTGTGTTCATAGATGCAATATGATGTCCAACCGATTCTTATAGTGTGTTCTTATGTTATTCTGTTACACCTCTGTCCCAATTTAAGCTGAGTTTTAAGCCTTAAAACATGCTTAACATGTATTTTATTTATGTTTCCTATTCAAAGTCAGGATACTATAGTTCTGTAGTTTCATAAGTGGATCAGATTATGCTTACCCTTTCAGAGCACTTGAGAACACCGTCGGCTTTTGACGGGGTTTGTGTAGCTCAGTCTTTAGCCAGTTTATATTCGACTTATGAATTTGAACATCCCTTTGGTACCTTCGGTCTATCTTGTTTTTCTTTTATTGTTGTTAGCATAAATCAGGCAAATGTTTTTTTTTAATTGTTTTATATTTTATCACACCGGGGCCATTTATACCATTTTATACGTATGAACTTTGCTTATTGTTGAAAGCCGTATAGTGCCCTATACATCCTATTCCGTTGGTTTCTGGTAGATATTTGTCTCATTTACAATCATAACATATTCCCTATTCATATTAATCTGTATACGCACCAACTACAGTCACAAAAAGGCAATCTGATAAGGTACCGGAGATCTTAAAATCCATAGAACAGCTAAATTGTAGGACTCCACTTGTTAACTCTGCAACGTATTGTAAAATGAAACTTCTGCCATCCGAAAAGCACTGACATTCACCATTCTGGCAAATTGATGAATCTAAGCTTGAGAAGCAACCGCTCGCATTTTTATATATTTTTGTGTAAAACTGATTGTAAACATGAAAAGAAACTGCCGAATCTTTCGAGTCTGTATTTGAGGTACAAAACAGTAATATCTTTTGTTGGGTTTGGACATATTTAGGCCCACTGACAGAAATTTTTAGTTGTACTTTTAAACCTAAAACAAGATTGAATATATTAATTTCGTTCACTATAATAATTGTGGATTTGAAACCTGTTTTATTTAAGTAGCACTAACTGTAATAAAAAATGTTCTTATATTATCAAAACGTCTCAACACTTATAATAATTTCTCACTAATGAATAGACCAGAGTTATTTATTAATGTTTTAAATATTTCTGTTCTCCAATATTATTTGGTTACAAGTGTACCCAACAAAATGCTTTAGAAACAACACGTTCAATGTATAAAGTCTTTTTGTAAAATTCGGCTGGTTATCAATTCGAAAACCCATTACGCTAAAATTGAACACGCTACAAAGTGACTTCTGATTCCAATTATTTAAATGGAAAACAATCGTATTCAAAACTTTATGGAATCATGACTCAATCCCCGCTATATACTGTAACACATCTTACAATAACACACACACACACATATATATATATATATATATATAAGTACGTCTGAACCAGTGACAACTCTACAACAGATTTATCCATCGGATCACCAGCAGTAATGGTGATACAAATTGAAAACAACGTTCAAACCTATGATTACGTTGGATAAAAACCGCAATTTTTATACATGTGCATGCAGAACAAATTTCTTGGTAGAGGGGCCTAAATACAGCAAAAACAACATTTTCCAAAAGACCAAAAAAGTGAAAAAGTATATTTTAACAAAACACATTTGACTAACAGGTCGAACAACGGATGTTCTTAAACCCTGCTGACTGCCACTGGCGATTGCCAAATAAACGGATTACAAAATGTAACAAAATGGTTCTTAATCAATAATTTAGTACCAAACAGGAAACAATAAACTTGCGGAAAAGATGGTATACTGCAAACATGAGGTGCAAACATTTGTACACCATATCCGGATTACGACATTAATGTCTCTTCAGTGATGTTAGGAATCGAAACGGTATTTGGAAGGCCATATAAATTGGCGATTGCCAAATAAACGGATCACAAGATGTAACAAAATGAATCTTGATTAATAATTTAATACCAAACAGAAAACAATAAACTTGCAGAAAAGATGGTATATCGCAAACATGAGATGCAAAAATTTGTACACCATATTCGGATTTCAACATTTATGTCTCTTAAGTGATGTTAGGAATCGAAACGGTATTTGGAAGGCCATATAATTTACCTCAATTTAGGATAGACTCTTGAATTTTGAAGAGTCGAAATAGGATGAACGAATCATATAAACCCGAAGGCAAATATAATACAAGCCCAAACGAAAAAATATAAATAAGTCTGAATTAAAAACAACGTTCAAACCTATGATTGCAATGGATAAAAACCGTAATTTTTATACGTGTGCATGCAAAACATATCTCTTGGTAGAGGGGTCTAAATACAGCACAAACAACATTTTCAAATGACCAAAAAAGTGAAAAAGTATATTTTAACAATACGCATTTGACTAACAGGTTGAACAACGGACGTTCTTAAACCCTGCTGACTGCCATTGACGATTGCCAAATAAACGGATCACAAGATTTAATAAAATGGATCTTTATTATATATATATATATTGATAATTTTCTATGTTTTCTATGTATTGTGTGCGAATTTGTCCCATGTATATTTACTCCATATCCTTTCATTTTCTCTCTCTCTCTCTCTCTCTCTCTCTCTCTCTCTCTCTCTCTCTCTCTCTCTCTATATATATATATATATATATATATGGGTTAGGCGTACGACCAGTGCTAGTTCGCTACAGTATAAGTATATAACAAAATGATATTTACTTTAACTTAAACATTGGTTTATAGTCTTTCTATAAAACAAAAGATCGCGTATTGTGACATGTGTGTGGTTATTTGATGTTATACGAAGTATTATATGCAACTTCACTAGCAAAGAACAAGTAGAACCGCTGGTGTGTGTGCTTTCTTATATTGCGAATCAATATTATACAGGTCTATCAAAAAACTACTTGCTTCAAATCATCATGTTCGATTCAAATTCATAATTCTGTAAAGGAATTTATGCGTAATTAAAAAAAAACTTAAAATAAGATCATCATTTTTAAATGAGACGTTACATCTTGATGCTTACATGTATTTAGCATTATAGAATTACCCCAAATTTCAAATTGTACAATGAAATAGTATAATATATATATTTTTTTAATTTCAGAATTAAAGCCTTCCAGAATATAATTTTACGATTAAAGGTAAATACATAATTTGATGACGTCTTTAAAGTGACAACATAACGAATAGTTGCCAATATGCTTTGCAAGTATAGGCAATTTGATACCCATTTTGGCACATACGTCGTCCAAAATAGGTTTTAAGCAGCGAAAGTAAAACACGAAATACACTTCCTCTATGAATATCTTTTTTTTTGGCGTGGGTTGTGCAAATTAATATTTTTCAACAATCATCAATCATTTTTGTCCAATTATAAAATATTTCATTTCATTGCTATGTATATAGATAAAAAGAGGCAAAAGTATATTATCCATGTAAAAAGAAAATCTTAAACAAAAACTACAAAACGAATAATTTCAAAATAAATGCTTCAAATAAGTGGAATCTACATGTTCAATTTCATTTCAAGACTAACTTGAAGCTAAATCGTACCTTTGATATATATAACTATTGTTAATTAAATAATTATGCGTATATACATGTAATAAGAGAATTAGTACCTATACTTTTTGGCACAATAACTTCGACACTGGCTTTATCAAGGATAAATCCATGATAACAACTCCATAAACCATTCAGTAGATGATTACTTAGAGTTCTTTTAACGACATATACTGTTTCACCAGATGTTATGTCTTGTGTTATGTTGTTCAGTTTCTCGCTTGGGTAGCACTCTGTCTTTGGATGTGGGACCGACCAGTATGCTACCTCATCACCAGATGGATTACAAAATATGATAGCTAAGTGTAAATTATCTGTTTTGCATACTATTCTTAGCTGATCCTTGTATAAACTCCAGCTGATGCACACATCATTTCCATGGATTTGGCTAATATCTAATTCAAGGAAATATCGCATTAGTCTAGAAAAACCCAAGAAACATTCTAACAAGTGTATTATGAAAGCTATAACAAAGTATAAAGCACACAAATCCATTATTCTGACACTGAACCAAGAGTTTTAATTTAAACATATGTCCAATGTAACGCGGATAAGGTGTGTACTCATGATCACCGAACAGAGGTAACCGCAAGACCATTAGTGGACTATTATAAACTATGCTTACAGGTCGTTTCTAACTTTTTTTATTTTAAATCTTTTGAGCCTGTCCATATTCAACAGTAAATAATAAATCGACAGAGACAGCATGAATACAGTCAGCTGATCAACAGGACAAGAAACGTTGTCGGATGCAGTATAAATATTAACCGCTGAAATACTAGTACTATCACTTGGTCGATACCATAACCTTGCTGATGAAATGCAAGTCAACGAGGATATCATTACCCCAGTAGTTTTGTACCTTGGTATTGGTATTAAAACGCATTTAATATTTATATTGAATTTGGCTGTTATATATTTTTACAAATCATTTGAAATTAATGAATGGATCTCCCTTAAGCATAGCTCTGATTCTTTGTCCGGGTTTTCATATACTTAAGGTCCTTTTTTTATTATAAAATTTAAAACTCTTTAGTGTTTGTTGGATTTTAAAATATTTTGGCATCGTGCATAACGGAAGTTACACTAATTGTCATAAATGTCCATCTGGTGTATTAAAATTCGTGTCAATTAATGTTGCTGCTATTTATATTAAAAAAAGCGTTAGTTTAATTTTTTACAAACTTAAATAATAGCCGAATGGACGATCAAGGACAAATTGTATCTGTGAATGCTTCATGAATAGCAAGGTGGTATAGTGTGACCATAAATAAATTGTAAAACACACGGATAAACAAGTGTGACCATTACAAAAACGATCACCAAATATCTAATTTAGATAAAGCAAAATAAAATGATGAATAAAAATTTTTTTTTCTTTATGGTGCTGTTCGGTTCTATAGTATTGCCAATGCTGCTATATTAACCACCAAAGATAAACCAACAGCTTTGTTTGTACCTTCCTTAATAAGTTTTATAGCTCAACTTTTAACTTACATTTAAGCAGAATAAATGTATATAAAAGATAACCATCCATTTTGTCCATGTTTTCAATAGATTGTCAAAATTTAATTGTGCAGTGTTTATGTCTGCATGGCCGGTTTCCTATTTCCTGATTTGATGCGATCTATCCGAAAGCAATTACATTTTAATGAGTTATTTATATTTAAGTTCATCCGGATAGAACGAAAAATAAACCAAAAATTTTTTTCAGAGGAAGTAGGAAATATATAATATGTAATTAATGTAATATATAAAGCATGTGCACAATATATATTTAATAATCAAATATTTTGAATTATCACATATTTTTTGTTTTTTATTGATAAATTTAGTCAACAGCATTTTACCGATGTTCCAATCTCCTACATTATAACATGAAAATCACGTAACCTTGTTTTTTTATTGCTGATATGGCGTAAACAGAAAAAGTACCAATCAGACCAAATGGACCTGATATTGGCTTCACATGCAATTTCAATGGGAGAGCATTATAAGCCCTTACGAGCAAAATCGATCCATTTAGCCTTCTTCTGATGTTCGCATGCGAGAAAATACGCACTAGTCATGTTTATCTGTGAGGTACTTTGCAGCCCCTTTCTTGTTCGAATTTACCCCTGACTGATTCTTTTTCTAGTATCGAATGATTACACGCGGTTGTCGTCTTGACCGTTTAATTTTACGTATTTGTCCTACAATGTAACCGAGGCTTATGTAAAGGACACCAGACGTGTGTTTTGTCTATATTAGAGCCACTGCAAGGGCGCTTTATTTAACACAGTTGGATGGGAAAATCAATCAAAAAGATAAGAAACGACTTAAACTTTACGTTTGAGAATATGTGAAAGAGGGGACATAGTTAGGACAATTAGCGGAAATAAAATACGATACTTGTACATATTAAAGTACTTTTATTGAAGTGACTAAAATCGACACTCGGATACCTACTGAAGAGTTCGGGATTTCAAGTGAAGTATTACCAATAATATTTTCAACGTAAATACACATTTGGATATACTCATATCAAGTGCAAATTATTATTAGTTTTTGTTTGTTTGAATTTGATTATTAGCATTTTTTTTTCAAAAACTTATGTTTGCTCTTTAATAAAACTAAAACAGTAATAGTAGAGAGAATTGTTATAATGTTGAAGGTAATACAAGCATAATGTACAGAACTAATCTGATGTTGGAGTCTCATTTTAAATCTAATTGTATAAATGATTACCTATGACAAAACAGGGTAATCAGCAAGAATTCCACAAGCACTACCGTTTATTAAATTAGAAGAATGTTAGGATACAGATGAACTACCTAATAGTGTATGACTCTTTTTATTTCATTTTGTCACCTGGTTTTATTTGTCGTTCTTGTAAAAGTAATACATAGTTTATGGTCTTAAAGTTTGAAGTATGAATAAATGAAGATGAGGGGTATGCGTCAATGTATGTTTAATAAACCTGTAAACAATTTGGATAGAAATATTGGAATTTTTTTTTTCTTTATAAGCAAGTTGTTTTGTGTTTAAATCTTAATGATTTGACCTTAAACTAGTTTTTTTTTCTTATTGATGTTCATGCTGTATTTCAGAAAGTTAACAGAGAACACCTCGCTCCTCAAGTATTTGGACGCTTAAATTTACAAATAAGAAAGAAACTATGTTTCCAAAACCCTTTTCGACGGTTTACCATAGAGGCTTATCATAAAATGTCTTTTGTGTTGACATGAACTAGCATTGATTAATTACAAAATTTTCTTCGAGCTTCACTGATGAGTCTTTTGTAGACGAAAAGCGCTTCTGGCGTACAGTGTCTTGTGAACACACTTAAAGTATAATTTTATATATGTAAGAGAATGATAATCCCTTTTTCATGATTAAGTACGAGTGTTAGCGAGTACTTATCATGAAGTAAGGGATTATCATTCTCTTACGAACTTAGAATATTGTAAAGTGCTCAAGGCTCAAATGATCTCTTTATTGGTTGTATTCAAAAATTTGTTTCATTGTCCGTACAATATTTATAATTAATTGCATGACTTCCTTTTTAGGCATTAATGGATTAGTTTTAGAGATGTCGGTACTTTCTTATAATTTGGGAAAATTAAAAAAAATGTGTTATAGACATTAGGTGACACAACAGAACAAAGAAAAATAGGAATTTTATACGTTTCCTGATTGTGAGTATGAATGTAAATCATGAAATCTTTAGTGAGGAATTAACCTTTTTTTGTTTACAGTTTAAATCAATAAATACATTTGAGTTACAACTAATTTTATTTCACAGCCAATATTTTGGTCGGGCTTTTAAATCAAATACTATTTTATTGTGTCAGGGAATGTTTAAATAAAATGACATTTTAAAAGTTTTAAATATATTCAAAAATTAAATTAAATTCCTGTTTTATTTTATTTCATCGGAATATTGGAAATAACTATTCTTCCCAACCGCTGGTCCAGTAATCTGAGTGTTGGAAAGCTAAAGATTTAGATTATTATTGAATTTAAAACTTTTTTTTCTTTTTTCCATTGCTTTAATATTGTTTATTTGTTTAGTAATTTGAAATGATTTATATTTTCATAATAATATTAAAGGTACCAATTTTACTGCACAAGTAAACTTCAACTTATTTGATTTTTTTGTTTGTTTCACAATTCAACTTTTAGTCAGTTTCAATCACTGTGTGATAAATCCTTTCAATCTGATAAATGTGCTTCTGGGCAGTTGTAACTCATTAGACATTTTTTGTTTTGAACTGTAAATTAAGCCGAAACAATAGGATAATCCCTCACTAAGAACATGATTTCATTCATTCTTCACAATTAAGAAACACCAAATCTTACGATTTCATTGGTCGAGAGCACTTTGCTATATTCTAAATCAATTATACACCATTTCAAATATTTCAAATTATTTCAATAATTTCAAACACTTATCCGAGTTACAATAAATCTAATTAATTTATAGTTTTAGATTATCACAGATGATTTATAAAACTGCGTTAGTCGACTCGATATTAGAACATCAGGCCATCTATTGTGGAAATAGAAACGCGTGTATTCACACCATTAGGAAATGAGTATCACAATTTATGTTGATACGGGCTAACTTGGTTTTTTTTAAATGAAATAGAGAATGGAAACTGGGAATGTGTATAAGTGACAAAGACCCGACCAAAGAGCAGAAAACAGCTCCAGACCACCAAGGGATATTCAATGCAGCAAGAAAATCCCACACCCAGAGGCTGGCTCAAGCTTGCCCCTTAACAATAATGTATTCAATGTCAGCGAAATGAACGCCACACTAACTTCCGAAACATACATATGAACCAATAATAAAAAAAACACACACAAGACTAACAAATGCTTGAGATTCCGAAATTGGGAAAGGCGCACAAATGCAGCGGGGTTAAACTTGACTTGAGAGATCTCAATCCTCCCGCTTTACATTTAGTCAATGTGGAATAAACAACTTTACTGCAAAATGTATAGTGGAATTCAGTCCCCGGGTGTATCATCAGCTCAGTAGTCAGTAGTCAGTAGTCAGTACTTCGGTACTGACATGATTAATAACAAAATTTTCTAAATTTGCCCATTTATAAATTTTGGAATTATAAAGAAACTAAGGTGTCAACTCCCTCAGGCAAAGTTGGCCTTAGAAGGATATAGCTATTATTTTAGGTCATTTTTGATTATATAGCTCAACTGTTTCGGTTTTATACGTCCTTGGCTTTCAAATATCCGGCTTTGAGCGTTCCTGATGAAGGTAAATCCAGGAAAGCGCTTCGGACGCATTAAATTTATAACGTGCTGTTTTCATTTTTTAAAAGAAGTCCGAGTCAATTGTTAGGTAACAAAAGATATGTTAATGTAATGCAATGGATAATCACACTTTTGTATACCCCACCTACACCTTCACATGAATCATAGGAATTTCAAAGGGATACCTTAATGTGACAAAGATAAAAAAAACAATTGTTTATTTAGATTTATTTAATGTTTTCTGTTTCAAAGGTTGTCTCTCGTGTGGTTATTGTATCATGTCGATTTAATCATATCTCTCTACTAAATTTTTTTTTTATAGTTTTTTTTTAACGGTTTTTTGTTTTTGTTACTGCTATTTCTAACCTTTTGTTTGTTATTTTTAGATAAATTTCTTTTTTGATCTGACTAAACAAGAGAAATAGATATCTAAACCCTTACATGACATTTCGTTAAACTTTACACCCATTTAAGAGAAGCACTAAGGGCAAATTGGTTTCCATTGACTTTAAGGATGAGCTATCAAATTTAAATTTAAATTATATATAATATAATGTACTATATGTATGATAGTACCAGGAAAATATTCTATTTCTTACCATGTTACAAAGGGCATGATCAACTAGGAAGTTCTCGTTACCAAGAAAAAGTTAGATGAAGATGCTCCTCAAAGTACCAACTTGATGCACAAATGCTCTTTATATTAGCGTTAAATAAATAATCCAGATATACAATAAGTTACCTGCGGCAAATTATGGGGGAGAAAGTTGAATTAGTTAACGTGATTCAAACACAAGAAACACAAGAATCTGCCAATTTGGAATATCAAGCAGGTCAAGCTGATGTTTGGGCTAAACTAAACAAAATCCAAGACGAATATCGGAACAGAGATAGACTGATCATCTACTCTTTAGCAGTTTTGTTTATTTGTTTTTCTATCGCAATTTCGGTTATTGCCTTATATTTGAAAGGTAAGTATCATGTCTTAATTTATTCTCATGTCTTCAGTTCTTTATTTCACTTGGCTATCGTAAATCGTGATTTCTTTCTGTGTTTTCTCCCCTAATTGAATAAATAACTGCCCGTTTTTAGTATGTCCGCTGCCGAGATTCAAAATAAAAACATTTCTCTAATGACATTTTTTCAAAAGGTTATGTCTCTTACACCAGCATTATTGAAAATAAAGATTGCTCTGTTTGCTTTGAGTGAACAAGAATAAAAACACACATTTGGCGGAAAAGGTGTCTCTGGATTTTTTTGTATGCATTAATGTTTCAGCAGAAATATATGTAATCTGTATGAAAAGATATTTTTTGAAATAACAAGTATTTTAATTTGTTTTAAGGATGTTCGCTACTTTGTTTCGAAATAACAAGCTTTTTAAAAAACTGTAATAAATTGATAGTATATAAATATGGGAACTAAAAAAGCAGAAAAAGATTAATGGTCCATGTACTTGTTTTCGAGATTAAAGCCAATGCAAATTCGGTGGGAAATGATTCTCTCTAGATTTTTCATACATTTAATATTTGCACCTTTTTTGTTTCAAAAACTATGAAAAAATAACAAGGATTTTATAAGATTTTAAAATATGGCTTTTCAAACTATATGTAATAATATGAAAACAAAAGTAGGAATTTTTTTAATGGCACTACATGGATAAAACCAGAAGATTTCGAATATACTGCAAAAATTCTAAAACGAGAGAAGCGAACATCTGGCGGCTACACGATAATTAGACAACAACCCATCGACATAAGAAACAATAAAACAATCGAAAGCACACTGCACTGTTTCAAATGCCAGGCAAGCTTTAAATGCACCAACGATCATTATAAAAACGCCTTATTTGCTTAGTTGTGTATTCAATAGAGATTTCATATATATGCCATAACGCCAAATAACAAACAACAAGTTATACGCACTAGCGATGTTTATTTGGTACGTTTACCATAACTTGAGGCAGAATATAACTAGACGTATACCACTAGTTGAGTAGGAACTATTGAAACTTTCGGCACAACCGATGTCACCAACAGTTTTGATATTAACCGTGTTAACGTTGCTCAATCTTTTGTAGTTTTCTCACATTTTTCTTATGTATGTTTAGTGGTCTCTTCCCTTTTTGGTCATGGTGTTGCACGTCTTTGTACGACTGAGGATGTTTGGTTGCTCCCTTGGTATCTTCTTTCTATTTTATCTATTAATTACTTTTATCAGATCATGGCAGTAAAATGAAATATAATACTTCCATGATCAGATCTTATAACTTGTAGCGATTGAAGGAAAACTGCAGGTTCATTGAATCTTTCACGTATTTAATATTAATTTTAACATTTTCGCGATTACAGTTTTTTTTTCGAATTCAAATTATCTGTTTTCGAACCCGCACAGCTTTTCGAATGCGTTGAAATGAAATAAAGATTAACAATTTGTGTTCATCAATGCCTAGGATCACATTATTTACATATATCTAGCATTATATGTAGCTGATTTTTTTTCTGTGTTGAAAATTTCCCATTCATTTTCAGTGTGCATGGATCAAAAGTCAACCGTTGAAACACATATACAACAACTGAAAACAAATGTGTCAGAACTTTATGATTTAAATAGACATATACAACTGATAAGTCCAGTTGGTAAGTTAACTTAATAAAGAAAAATGTCACACATACAAAAAAAATATAACAAGTCACAAAAGACAATTAAAAAAATAAATCACAGGTAAAAAAGAACAAGAAGACAACAGTAATTAGTCCAATAGACATAGAACGCTATTATGGTAGAAATATAAAACCAAATAATACGGTATATTTGATGGTAGTCATGTACGAAGAAAGGTATGCGTATGGCGACCAAAATTGCTATATTGCACACAATTATATTTACTGTTATTAGATTGCATTTTAAGCGTCGAAAATCTTTAAATAGCCTTTGACTTCTGCGTCATTTGGTCTCTGATGGAGAGTTGTCTCATTGGCAGTCATACCAAATCTTCTTATTTTTATATTAATTGTCAGACTATGATCCAGTACACATAATAGCACTGTTAAATGTACAATATAACACAGTAACTGCTTTTACTAGCGGATTTTGCGTCCACGGAATAACCGCCACCTTTCAAATTACTTTCAAATACAAACAAAATGAAATCCTTTAAAAACTTAAAAGATCGTTAACTATATCGATTCTTTATTGCAAAATAACGCCCTTTTTCTTCAAGCATTAACAAATATATAAACATCCAGCAGGAACATAACAAATCCAATCTCACCATATACAGAAAAATCAGTTTGGTATGAGTGCCAATGAGACAACTCTCCATCCAAGTCACAATGTGTAAAAAGTAAACAATTATAGTTCAAAGTACGGCCTTCAACACAGAGCCTTGGCTCACACCGAACAGCAAGCTATAAAGGGCCCCAAAAGACTAGTGTAAAACAATTCAAACAGGAAAACCAACTGTCTAATCTATATAAAAAACGAGAAACGAAAAACACTTATGAACCACATAATAAAAACGACAACCACTGAATAGCAGGCTCCTGACTTAGGACAGGTGCATAAAAAAGACTGTTTAATAAAGACTGCAATATGACATACACATTCAGGGGAGGGGATTAGAATGCGTACTATTTTTTTTCAAACGGGTATCAATATTATCAAAGTGACATGAAATAAGATTCTCGGATATAAATAGTAGACGATCATAGGTACACAACAATTATACTTTAGTGCCCTGGGTTAAGGGCAGTAACTCTTTATATCAGAAGTGTTTGTAAATGCAGTTCCCCTATGCTTTGTAAGCATTTACGTTATACAGATGTTTAATACTGTACAGTTAAAAAAATGAGAGCTAATTTTATTGCGATTTTTTAAAATTGAACAAAAATGCAAGATAGATAATCACGATTTTAGGAAGTACTGCAAACAAAATTTGCTATCACAATCTAAAATGGGAGTTTTTATTTTTGCGTAACCTATCTCGTCGCAATAATAAAAAACAAATCAGCACAATTTTTGACCATACAGAAATCTGTGTGACTTGGAAGTTTATTCTACATGAATGAATATGATTCACACAAACGGACCTGTACTTTTAAAAACCTAGGTATACGTACCCTTAAATAAGTAAAGGAATGCTAATATAAATTTGACTTTTATTTTAAAAATGTAGATACAATGATATTAATACATGTGTAAAAGAAGAATAAGTGCATGCCCAAAATTACAAATATGAAGTTCTACAAATGTTACAATTGCCTTAATTCATTGCAAGCAAACATGGCGAAGGGAAGAACAGGATAGAACAAAGAGTGATGAACAGTTCAAAGTAATTTTCACCTGACAAAAATTTAAGTGAAAATCAATATCTTTTAGGTGATAAAAACAAAACTGGCAACAAAGGCCCAATTGGCAACAAAGGTTCAATCGGAGACAACGGTCATATTGGAGATAAAGGTCCGATCGGAAACAAAGGACAAAACGGTCATAACGGAGACAAAGGTTCTATTGGGAACAAAGGTCAAAAGGGAGACAAAGGTCCTATAGGAGACAAAGGTTCAATTGGCAACACAGGTCCAATGGGGGACAAGGGTTCAATTGGACACCAGGGTTCAAATGGAGACAAAGGGTCATATGGTGACAAAGGTAAAAAGGGAGATAACGGCCAAATTGGGGACACAGGTCCTATTGGAGATAATGGTCCAATGGGAAACAAAGGACACATAGGAGACAAAGGTATGAGTGGTAACACTGGTCAAAAGGGTGATAAAGGTTCAATTGGAGACAAAGGTCTTTTTGGAAACAAAGGTCCAATGGGAGACAAAGGTCAAATTGGAAACAAAGGTCTAATGGGAAACAAAGGACACATAGGAGACAAAGGTATGAGTGGTAACACTGGTCAAAAAGGTGATAAAGGTTCAATTGGAGACAAAGGTCTTTTTGGAAACAAAGGTCCAATGGGAGATAAAGGTCCAATGGGAAACAAAGGACACATCGGTGATATAGGAGACAAAGGTTCGAGTGGTAAAACTGGTCAAAAGGGAGATAAAGGTTCAATTGGAGACAAAGGTCCTATTGGAGATAAAGGTCCAATGGGAGAAAAAGGTCCAATAGGAAACAAAGGAAACATCGGTGATCTAGGAGACAAAGGTTCGAGTGGTAACACAGGTCAAAAGGGAGATATAGGTTCTATTGGAGACAAAGGTCCGATAGGAGACAAAGGACGAGTCGGTAGTAAAGGAGAAACAGGTTCAATTGGCAACAAAGGTCCAACGGGAGATAAGGGTTCACTAGGGGACAAAGGTCAAATGGGAAACAAAGGACATAAAGGAGATAAAGGACCCGCTGGGGACAAAGGCCAAGTTGGTAAGAAATGTTTTAAACATCTGAACTCCTTGTTTAAAGGTGAGAAAAAGTGACAAAAAGGTAAATAAGGTTTACATTGCCGATTATGTGAAATGGATAATAAGGGACCAAAAGGGATATTTGTCCGACTAGCATTAAAGACCATGTGTTAATGATGGTCAACGAGGTAAAATAAAACAAACTATTTTGGTTTGTTGAATGATTTAACACTTAATTGAGATAAATGAATAAGTGACAACCAAACGAAATAGAAACTAATTTCTAAACTCTATTTCAAGATGATCGGAATGACTAATTAATAGATTCACAGAATATTACTTGATTAGGTGGATAATTTGAAAAAAATCATCCACTGTGGTAGGAAATGCATAGGGGCACTGATGTCGGATAAAAAATGTATTGGGTTGGGGGTTGGGGTAAACGTCGTTGCATGTTTTTTTTTACATCGATTTTCGGGTTCAAGAAATGCGTATTATTTTTTGGTACTTTGTTTAGCCAAATAAACGATATCGAATCGTACCATGTAGTAAATTGTTTGGGCCGAGATTGTTGGTGCGAAATTGTCACAGTATATAAACGTCATTTGAACACTGTTTTATCGAAAATAGTGAATGACAGTAAATCCTTATTCAAAACTAAATATATATATATTAGAGAGTATATACATAACACTTATTCCTGGTGTACCTATCTGAAAGATATTATCCCGATATAGACAGTTGATTTGCAAAAAAACTATATTTATTTAAAACATTAAAGCAAGTCAAATCACTGATAAGTGTGAGCAAGGAAGGATCTTCAACCATTATCATATTAATCTTAATTTCATTCAAGACAATTACTGAATTCAAAATAAATGTTTGATTTCTAATTCCAGTGTTATTACTATTTTCAGTGGCACTCACCTCTTGTGGATCATATGCGGACTTAAATCCTACCAGTGATGGCATTATCAAATTCCCGATAAAGAGAACATCTGTCGGCGTGAACAATATATCACTATTTCTTAATTCTGGTGTGTTTACTTGCGAGTATGCAGGTTTGTATCACATTTCTGTAACAATAATGACAAAAACAAGTCATGCACTCTTCGTAGTGCAAAAAAATAAGTCAATGATTGTTCCTGGATACATTCCTGACCATGATAAGAAATACAATTCTGGCACTATTAATACAGTGGTAGAAATGAACGTTAACGACAAGATTCGTGTTTGGAAAGGCAATGTGAAACAGTATTACGGTTATTACTCATGTTTCACTATCGTCAAACTGTAAATTACTGGAAAATAACGTTATATTATAAAACTATCCAAATAAAAGGACTACCTTTATCATGTATTTATTTACCATGTTTAAGTTTTAAATATATATAACCATATCATACCATTATTTCTCTTATGGTTGTTGTCTGTTATCTATTTCTTGCATGAATAGATATTTCTCGTATCACACTGCACGGAGTGTGATACGAAAAAGTGATACGAAAATCTGCGTTAATTTGATTGGCTTATCCAACATCACAAGAGGACATTACGGCATTTATATTGGCTATTCGTTAGGTCATTGATAACTTTCAAAGGTTAAGACGATGTACATTTCGTCAATGGCAACGGACATATGTGATTTCTTCAATAATATACAAAACACTCACACATTTCACCTGACAATCTTCTTTTTGTCAAATTTTATTACATTCTGAAGCGAGCAAAAAATCTTAAAATGTCTGATGTTAAAGTTTGACACCGGAAAAGGACATATGACGTCATACTTGAATGTGCAAAAGACTAGATCAAAATTTCGCGGAATTTTAATTTAACACATTGAGAGTGTTGACCATAAGAGAAATAGGTTTAACAACTTGTGGAAATTGGATATCGCTTGATATTAACTCTCGTTATTTAATTTAAATAATAATAATAAACTCGCCGAAGGCTCGCTTATTATTATATTGAAATTAAATAACTCGAGTTGATATCAAGCGATATCCCTTTCTCTCTCGTTATGAAACCTATAATTACCCTTCAAAGTATAACCTTACGTTTTATAACCTTATAAAAATAAGGCGATGTGGTATGATTGACAATGAGACAACTTTCCAACAGAGTTCAGATGAAGTGATTGTAAGCAATTATAGGCAACCGTACAACAAAAGAGAAAAACCCATACCGTATAGTCGTCTATAAAAGGCCCCGACATGAAAAATGTGAAAGAATTCAAACGAGAAAACTAATGACCTTGTGCAATGGAAAAATATAAGTTAACAGTATGTAGGATAATGTGTTCTCATAACTGTACATATATAGCAATATATATTTAGTTATGTTTTAATTTTTCAAAAACAAAATCAATGTTAGTACCAATAAAAACAATATTTAAAGATTTTACTACTGTGTTAAATTGATAACCTTTAAGGATAAGTTTATTCAAAGGATCAATTAGTTAGTGTACATTGATCGTATCTATTTTGCGGGCTTTATAAACAACAAGACTGTGAAAATTAGGATGGAATATCCCGTTTTTTGATAAAATCTCTACAGATACAGCCAAACTTCACAACCAAATCTTTTCTATAATCTTATAAAGTATAACTTTACCAATAATAAATATAAAAATAAGAAGATGTGGTATAATTGCCAATGTGGCAACTCTCCACCAGACACGCAATGGCATAAAAGTTAACAACTATAGATCACCGTATGGCCTTCAACAATGAGCAAAACCCATACCACATAGTCAGCTATAAAAGGCCCTTACTTTCCATAACCTTAAAAGACATAACCTTTTGATGTTTAACCTTACCAAGTATAACTTTGTTATGAATAGCCCCATTTCGTTTTACCTTACCGAGTATAACTTAATTATGAAAAGCCCATTTCGTTTTACCTTACCAAGTATAACTTAATTATGAATAGCCCATTTCGTTTTACCTTACCAAGTATAACCTAATTATGAATAGCCCATTTCGTTTTACCTTACCAAGTATAACCTAATTATGAATAGCCCATTTCGTTTTACCTTACCAAGTATAACTTAATTATGAATAGCCCTGTTCGTTTTATCTTACCAAGAACAACTTAATTATGAATAGCCCTGTTCGTTTTACCTTACCAAGTATAACTTAATTATGAATAGTCCTGTTCGTTTTACCTCAACAAGTATAACTTAATTATGAATAGCCCTGTTCGTTTTACCTTACCAAGTATAACTTAATTATGAATAGCCTTGTTCGTTTTACCTTACCAAGTATAACCTTACTATCTACAACCTCACCATGTATAAACTCAATCTGTATAAACTTACCAAGTATAACCTTACTATCTACAACCTCACCATGTATAAACTCAACCTGTATAAACGTATCAAGTATAACCTTACTATCTACAACCTCACCATGTATAAACTCAACCTGTATAAACTTACCAAGCATAACCTTACTATCTACAACCTCACCATGTATAAACTCAACCTGTATAAACTTACCAAGTATAATCTTACTATCTACAACCTCACCATGTATAAACTCAACCTGTATAAACTTATCAAGTATAACCTTACTATCTACAACCTCACCATATATAAACTCAACCTGTATAAACTTACCAAGAATAACCTTACTATCTACAACCTCACCATGTATAAACTCAACCTGTATTAACTTACCAATTATAACCTTACTTTCTAAAACCTCACCATGTATAAACTCAACCTGTATAAACTTACCAAGTATAACCTTACTATCTACAACCTCACCATGTATAAACTCAACCTGTATAAACTTACCAAGTATAACCTTACTATCTACAACCTCACCATGTATAAACTCAACCTGTATAAACTTATCATGTATAACCTAACTATCTACAACCTCAACATGTATAAACTCAATCTGTATAAACTTACCAAGTATAACCTTACTATCTACAACCTCACCATGTATAAACTCAACCTGTATAAACTTACCATGTATAACCTTACTATCTACAACCTCACCATATATAAACTCAACCTGTATAAACTTACCAAGTATAACCTTACTATCTACAACCTCACCATGTATAAACTCAACCTGTATAAACTTACCAAGTATAACCTTACTATCTACAACCTCACCATATATAAACTCAACCTGTATAAACTTACCAAGTATTACCTTACTATCTACAACCTCACCGCAACCTGTATAGACTTACCAAGTATAACCTTACTATCTACAACCTCACCATGTATAAACTCAACCTGTATAAACTTACCAAGTATAACCTTAATATATACAACCTCACCATGTTTAAACTCAACATGTATAAACTTACAAAGTATAACCTCACCATGTATAAACTCAACCTGTATAAACTTACCAAGTATAATCTTACTATCTACAACCTCACCATATATAAACTCAACCTGTATAGACTTACCAAGTATAACCTTACTATCTACAACCTCACCATGTATAAACTCAACCTGTATAAACTTACCAAGTATAACCTTAATATATACAACCTCACCATGTTTAAACTCAACATGTATAAACTTACAAAGTATAACCTCACCATGTATGAACTCAACCTGTATAAACTTACCAAGTATAATCTTACTATCTACAACCTCACCATATATAAACTCAACCTGTATAAACTTACCAAGTATAATCTTACTATCTACAACCTCACCATATATAAACTCAACCTGTATAAACTTACCAAGTATAATCTTACTATCTACAACCTCACCATATATAAACTCAACCTGTATAAACTTACCAAGTATAATCTTACTATTTACAACCTCACCATGTATAAACTCAACCTTTATAAACTTATCATGTATAACTATTCCTGTTAAAACCTTACCAAACTTTTTCAAAGCATGTATAAGCTTACCAAATATTACCAAACCATATATTATCAGATCATTACCAAGTATAACGTATAACTTAACCAAATATAACGTTAACAAGTATAAACTAACCAAGTATACCCTTACCAAGTATAACCTTAACCAGTATAAATCTACCGAGTTTAACCCTTACCAAGTATAATTTCATTCTGTATAACATTCCAATGTGTAATTTACCAATTATAATCTAACTGGGAGTTATCTTCTCTAGCGGAATGACGTAAATTATCATCTTACCAAGTGTAGCCTTACCAAGTTTAACCTTACCATTGATTACCTCATAAAGTATAACCTTACGAAGTTTAAATGTACAATGTATAATCTTCCTGTGTATTACCTTACCATATATAATCTCACCAAGTAGAAACTTACCATGTATAATCTTTCAAAGTAAATCATTACCACTTAGAAAACCCCACCCTGTATATTCATTTTATATATTACATTACTTAATATATTTACCCTACCCTGCATAACCTTACAAAGTATACCTTTCCCGTTTCAATATTAGCACATTTACATTGTAGCTTACTTTGTACTATTTACCAAGTATAACATTCTCTTGTGTAACCTTACCAATTATTATCTAACCGTGAATTATCTTCCTTAGTATAATCTTACCATACGTATAATTTGAAGCCCTGCATAATGAAACGGAGATTTTTGGTATATATCAATGATGCAATAACTCAACGACAAAAAAATGAAAAGACATCTATATATGAATAAAAGGAGATGCAGGGTAAACGTCAATGAGACGTCAACACGGCGACACAAAAAACAAAAGACATTAAAAGGTCAACATATTAATGTCTTCAACAATGGACAGGTGCTTAATCGACCAGATTGTGCTAAAAATAATTAAACACTGATATTCTAATTAACAGAGGCAATAAAATATATGCAATCCATAATGAATTAACAGAATAACAAAAACATTTAAGATATGACAGAAAACAACTACCAACGAGGTTCCTGACTGAGAACAGGTATATGAACGAGGGTACAGATGTTGTTTACAGAAATGAGAATAATGGGTAAAAAGTTCAGAATAAACAGCAAAAAAAATATAAAAAATAGAGAAGAATAGGCGAAAAAAATAAAGAATAATGGGGTGCTGAAATATAAAGAATAGAGAATAATGGTAGACATGAAAAAGAAAATAGAAAATGCTAAAGAATAATAAAAAAAAGAAAAAAGGACCCCAAACCAGACCCTCATGAACATACGGAGTTTACCTAGTGTAAACTTTTATCTTAAAATCGTGATCAATGAAAAAATGAAAAAGATACAAAAAAAGGACAAATAAAAAAACCGTACAGAAAAGTATCAACTTTTATAATAATGATATGGAATAACATAAAGCATGTTGAGGAAACACATTTACTGCACCAGATGTGCATTTCGACAATAAATGTGTCTTTAATGATGCTGATAGCTAAAATATTTGAAAGTTAAAAT